CTCGCGACCTTGCTCACCCCGACCACGCGACCTCACTCACCTCCACCGACGATGGCCTCGATCATGATGAGGGAGGTGTCGATCTCGCGAGCGAACTCACGCACGGCCTGGTTCGGATCCTCGTACGTGTGCGGGTCAACGTACATGCGCGGCGCGCCGGGCGGGAACAGCGGAGTCGTGACTGCAACACACACACACACACAGAGTTAGTAATGCTGAGGCAGAGAGTTGATGCTGCTGCATGTGACAGTGCTGCCGGCATGACACGTGCGATAATCGGATAACAATATATTCAGAAGTACGTTAGATTGACGTCACGAATTTTCTATGGTGTATATTTTTATATTGTTGGCATTTTTTTTTACATGAAAAGTAAGTACTGACGGCACTAAATGTATCGTCAAATTCTTACCTGATAAGATTGTTTCTCAACTAGTTAAAAATCCAAAAAACCTGGGCAATTTGATATATTGATCACGACATTAAATGCTTGCTATGGGCTAGTATGAGACACGAGTGTATGTTCACATCGCACGCAATAGCAAAATAGGAAGCATAATGCAGCTATTTAACCATAAAAAGTTAACAGAATCACTTACATTTTGTGAAAAAGTGGACATTTTTTTTTTACTTTTCCTATTTACGGTGACGTAATCACTTTAACAAGAACTTGTTAACGTACTTCTGAATATATTACTATTAAATTATCGTAATTAACTTTAATGTACGACGTCGTGTAACGTAATAAATGTTAACGCACTCATGGGCGTGTGTATATGATATAATAATCTGAAGGACGATTTACTGACGATTATTATTGATAATTGATATGCATTTGGTTTATAAAGTTTATGCAGCGAACAGCTAATGAAATAGAGCGAGTAAGATGCACCCGGGATATGGTATTAAATTTTTACTAAAAAATTAAAAGATTTGCAAACACGAGCTACGATCTATAAAACGATTCGTCACGATTCACAGCACCATGCAAATGTACGAACAACATGTACGTAAAGCAAGCATTAACCTGGATGAGTCATCAGTGATTGTGAGTAGAACACGCTGGCTGTATTAGAACACTTACTTCCGTTTGTTATGGGGTCGGCAGCCATAGCTATACGAGGAAAACAAAAAAAGAAGAAGCAAACTATTAGCACGGTCTGGAAACCTAGTGCTGCAAGCAACACGCAAAGCAAGCAAATAAACAGTAATCCAGCTGTCACTGTGGTCACAACACCGATTTATTTTAATGATACATTACTTGTGACAGCATATGCCATGCACATGAGTTTAACTGGCTGAATACATAGCTCGTTAGGAGGTTAAATACATTATTGCAAAATTAATTACCTAGATTACACATTGATTTTGGGCCTAGCACTATAGCTGACATGCGCAAGCACATATATGTGATTTCAAGAAAGCAGCGTGATTAGAAGCGAACAGCGACAAGACAGAACCACCTGATAGACAGATGGACA